GATTCATTGCTACTTTGTCTTTTCGATTTCATATGATAATTATACATAAACATTTGTGAAAGTCTAAATTTAGGCATGCGCTAAGTTTGTAAAGGATTAGTGTCACACCAGGAATTCGCGGGCTCAAACTCCTGCTGGAAAGTGTTTACAATCCGTCATATATTTAAACCATCCTTTTATCAATCCTTGCTCTTTTTGTCTTATTTTTATCAGAAATGTACCAAACAAGGTATTTTTATCGCTATTTGTTGTATTTAAGTAAAATGTAAACAATAACAAAAGCCGGCAATGCATGACCCTGACACTAGTCCTTTAAAGGCAATGCTAATTTGGAATTGAAAGAATTCATAAGTGACTCACCTGCAGATATACAATAATATTGCTTAAAAGTAAAGTCAGTTTTTCTAAAATTTATTAATGTTACTGAGATAATTTGAATCAATTTTTGCAGATGTGGCAGACTTAAAGTGTGTGGTTCATTTATATGATATTGATGACGGAAAACACAGTAACATAAAACAGTTGTCAGAAGTTAACTTGGAACGAATTCAGCAAGCGAAAACTCTACGAGAATCAAAGGGTGGCTCTATCCATCACAAAAAACAGTGCGATTCTGTCCCAGAGCTAAATCAGTTCAATCCGTCGTTACACGGCGTTCATCTAGAACCGTTCTATAAAAGTTTGTTCTGATACTTTCTCAAGAAAAAAGGAAGCATTCAGAAAGCTCTCCCGATTCACAACCAAATGTAACGCGCTTAAAGCGTGGTGAATCCAGCACTGATTGCTTTCGTAACCTTTATCCAAAGGAATGCAATTTCTGCAAAAAATACCGGGTAAAAAAGAATGGAAGGTTACATTTCCCCATCACAATAGCAACCAATATGGCTGCTGCGCAAATCAAGGAATCCGGCAGAAGCGAAAGACACCAACCTCTTTTATGAAATTAGAGATATCGATTTAATAGCAAAAGAGTTCCAAGTATCATGACTTCTGTTACAAAGAATTTACAAGAAAAGTAGCAAATGCGAATACTAAACAGTTTGAAGACAATGATGCGAAAGGTAATTTCGACAAAGTAACAGATTACATACAACGAAAAGTTTTATTCCAGAATCAGGCCATCTCTATGACAGTAGGCTACTGCATGATTTATATGGTCTCCATACCAGATATAGAAGCAAGTTAAAAAATAGGATTGTTACAAAATTTTCTGACCAATTATTATTTTTAACAATTGACGCTAAAACACTTCAAGTTGTGATCAGCCGTGAAGGAAATAAATAAGAATACATTATTGAAAAATCGCGAGAAAGTAATCAAACAAGCGGCTGAATATCTTCGAGAAGACATACGAGAATATGCGCGAGATTCTCCCGAATTACAATGGCCACCATATATCGAGGAACTTGCTGCTGAAACTCGCCCGGTTCCCTCGTCAGTTAGATCATTCTTAATTCGTCTCCAGACTGACGACAGCCTCCCAGTTTTGTTAATTATTCAGCTGATGAAATAGTGAAAATTAAGCCAGAGACTGTCTGCGGAACGTTTCCTGACGTGGATGATACTTCGACTGATTAATTTTGGCGATCAAAACGTAAAATCTTACTTTGCATGGGAAATGCAAAACCGAATTGCTGGGGAAAACAAAACAGTTCATAAGACTTTGACAACATACTTTCCACCAATCAACGCTAAAGTCACAGAATTCAGTACCATCAACCAGTACCTTAAATTACGTACATGCAGAAGCTAGCAAATGAAGTAAACATGCCTTACGTCAACGTATGTTTGGATCTCGGTGCTGCAATGAATGCCTACAAGTTCATCTGGAATTTTCCGTTGAAATTTAACAATGTTGTCATCCATTTGGGAGATTTTTATTTCATTAAAGAAAATTTTGGTGTCATTGGTGGGATTGTTGAAGCGTCGGGCTTTGAAGATGTCGTATATCAAGCAGGTGTATGCTCGTATGGCAGTCGAAAGATGTTCTCTCAGGATCACACTACAATAGGACATGGATTGTTCATTCTGCATTTTCAGAAGCTCTGGAAAGGCTTTTGTTCCAGATATTTTTGAAAGAAAATAATATCGCCATTCCAGATTACTTCTATGATGCATGTATTGATCCAATAGCAAGCTGTGCTGTCATTACTGAAAATGCTTCATCGTTGTATTCAGAATATCAAGTTTCAAGGAGGAAGCAAGAAATGGTGCGTTAGGGAAAACTGCTCAATTTTGGATACGAACGGCACACCTAGCTGTTCAAGAAAATGATTTTGATCAAAGGGTATTGGTATGGAAATTCCCTCTTCCGATGTATTTTGCTTTGAACAAGCAAAACTACGCTAGATACGCATCGTACTACGTTGGAGTCTTCCAAAATATTGACATTCTCCATCCCGGCCTAAGGGAAATGCTTGACAAATCAGGACTTGAGAACCGCAACTGACCAAAGAGGGGAGCAAACTATTAACCGTGACGCAAAGATAGCAGGGGTGCATGGGGGATAAAAAGCTTTGCTAACGACAGCAATGCCATTCTGAAGTGGACGCTGAATCGTTCAGAGGAAGCCAAAAACAAGGCGAAACTTTTTGAAATGGCGTGCATGAGTCTCTCAAATGAAGTATATCAGTCATTACGACCATCCGAGATCCTAAAGTCGGAGTCCTATACTACAAGTGTTTTCAACACGTTAAGCAAGGAATATTTAAACCCATTCGATGTGGAACTAGATACCAGTTTTCTTTACAACTTGGGCTCGGGTACACCGATAGAAGAGGATATCAGCGAAGAAATTATGAATAATAGAATAGAAGGAGAAGCGTTGTTTGAAACATTCATCACTGTTAGAATACTGAAGAAAGAAATACTTTTCCATGATCTCATTAAGAGGAGGAACTTAGTATTATTCAAGGCATCCTCGAAGAAGGTATCGTTGACGAGAAGTACTGTCGTGAAAACAGTAGAAGTCAACAGAGACATTTTGGGTACCTTTCTTGCTTTGACAGCGAAGACAGAAAAAGTTATCAACTTTGAAAATGCATTAGAATATCCACTTTGTTCTGTCCCGCTTAGCTTGGCATGCCCTGATAGCACACCTCGGAAAACTGCTAAAAGTAAACTCTTGGATGTGCTAAGAAAAAGATGTTGATTGCCATTGACTCATCCAAGAGAAAATCAACCACAAAAGGGAAGTGTTGCAGCCTTTATCATCGACCTCATGGCAAATATAAGAATGATAACAGGTATTCCTGAAACATACGATCGAGGACTTGACGTGGGTATTTATCAAGACAATACCAACAGGCTACACCAGAATAGACATTGTTGCAGACACCTATCCAGAAAATTCCATTAAGGCGGCTGAGCACTGTAGAAGAGGTAGTTCAAGAGAGATTATAATTCGATCACCCCAATAAAAGATCCCGAGAGATTTTCGTGGTTTCTTACAAAATGGAAAGAACAAGACGAGGATGATTATGCCAATGAGGGAAGTGTTGATGAAGAACCAACAAAAAACACTTGAAATGTTAGACTGCAAAGAAATTTTCTTCTCCACCCTTAACGATTGTATCAAAATAACGGAAAACTGTACTTGCAACAAAGAAGGCCTTGCAAGCAACCAGGAAGAAGCAGACACGAAAGTCGTCCTGCACTATAAGAGTGCTCTAGCGAGCTCTTTGAACAAGAGTATCATTCTTCGATCACCATCAGGTGATACCGACATCACAATAATTATGATCGAAAAATTTATTGAAGAGAGAGCAAATTGTTTTCTCGATTATGGAAGCGGACAGAATCGAATGGGTCTGTGGCTAAACAGTGTTGATTTAAATAAGCCATTGAAAGAATGCCTTATTGGTTTTCACGCGTCCACAGGAAATGACTTTGTATCGTCTTTCTTTCGAAATGGAAAAGAACTTTGCTGGAAAGTTTTAGAAACAAATCCGAAATTCTACCACGCTTTTCAAAACCTGGGAGTGAACTGGAATCTCAGCGATGCAATTTTTGACCTTCTTGAAGAATTTGTATGCTTCGCGTATGGCTATCGGAGAAAGAGCGTCAATTTCGTCCGTCACCAAATGTTTCGGGCAAAGTACAAAAAACATTCAAAAATTGTTGATCTTTCTTTGTCACCACCGTGTCAGTCTGTGTTGAAACTTCACGGCAGACGAGCAAACTTTGTTGCTAAGATATGGAAGTCGTCAGATGAATCAAAACTACAGATTCCAGAAATCTCACATCATGGATGGAAATCGACCGGTGAAATCAAATGGCTGGTAAGAGAATTTCCCGATGATGTAGAAGAACTTTTACTTAATCCTGAACTCGATAAACTGGACGACGATAAAATATTTGATAGAGATTTCGAGAGTGAGGAAGAAAGTGACTTTGACAGCTGAATAAACAGTTTTGTTCGTATTTGTTTGTTAATAGCTTACAAAATTACATATATACCTGTATCGTAATAACTCATAATGAGATGTACGAAGATGTATGTGTCTAAATACAAACAATTGCAGGTATATTACATCACATCACTTCACTATAACCCCCTGCGGCTAAACGCACCCGACTCCCTCCGTTTACCATCGCGTTTCGAAACACCCAGGTCTGTACCTTCTTGAAAATACCCATCCGGATTTCTCCGGTTTCAGGTGGTACTAAAGTCCACCACAGCCCGGTCTACTTGTATCAACTGGTTTTGTGATTGGTTGATGACAGCAATGAAATACAATCACTCTAAACGGAGTGGATTTGGTCCTTTGTTGATGAGAAATTTATAATAAATAGAATATCGAACAAGTATAGACGGTCACCTCTCTTTAGCGGACGAACCTTTTCAGCCCCGCACCCCAAGTTCTGGAGAAAAGATGGGGGTAGCAGGGACATTGAGTGATAAATATATAGTAATATATACTGCGCAATTTCTGCCAAGTATTGCGCCATTTGCGCGATTAATTCTGCTGTTTTTGCAACGATTGTTGCTAAAGGGAATGGACCAGAGAGAAGTTTTCAAGATGGCGTCTATTTTTCAAGATTGTCATAATGCGAAAACGAGAACCATGCACTGATAGTGACAATCTTAAACCTTACCCTAAACAGAATCCAATCCTAGAATAAACCCTAAACTATTAGCAAACTTTGAGTTTAAATTTTGAACTGTTTTGAAAACCTCCCGCTCTTCCAGATCGTATAGCCATAACCTTTTTGCCACCGAGTTGCAAGTGGAGGAGACGAACTAAACACTATTATTATAACCCCTATTAAGGAGGCTCCCTACAGTTTCCAATATATGTCAGTGTTTTAAACAAAAAGCAATTTAATAAAAAAAACTAATTTTTTGCACAAGCCATTGTTTCCTCTTATATAAAAAAGTAATTTTAACCCACAATCGCTACTCTTCAGGTTACCATGACAACATGACATTACCATCTATATGGCCTATATCAACCAAAAAAGCCGTCTTAGCGGACAAATAACCACGGTGACCTACCTTTTTTATTGCAGAAAATACATTATTATGGAGTTTTGAATCTTTTTTGAAAGTTATTTGAAAATCGTCAGTGTAGTTTTTGAGAAACTGAATTTCAGCCTTTAAGATTGCATTTTAGCCTTCGGAAAGGCTGAAATTCAGTTTCTCGAAAACTACACTGGCAATTTTCGAATAACTCTCAAAAAGATTCAAAACTTCATAGCAATGTATTTGCTAGAATAAAAAAATGGGTCACCGTGGTTATTTGTCCGCTAAGACGGCTTTTTTTACTGATATAGGCCATATAGATGGTGACGTCATGTTGTCATGGTAACCTGAAGGGTAGCGATTGTGGGTTAAAATTACTTTTTTATACAAGAGGAAACAATGGCTTGTCCAAAAAATTAGTTTTTTTAGATTCAAATAGCTTTTAGTTTAAAACACTGATATATATTGGAAACTGTACGGAGCCTCCTTAAGTAGACACCTATTTGAAGCGGACACATTTGCGAGGTTCCAAAAGCGTCCGTTTAGTAGTACGAGTTTAACTTCATGTACACCTCCGAATATAAGCCCACCCGAGTATAAGCCCCCCCCCCGGAATATAGGCCCCTCCGTGTACAAACCCATGGGATTATTATTGGACAGATATATTATTAACGCAGCCACGGGGATTCCAATAGCACGTACGAGTGACAATAGTTACATCACATGCAATATTATAGTATCTTAACCAGCTTGTTTTATGTATAGATTATATACTGTATGTTTATATTTATTTCTGTTCACATTATAGTTTACAAGTACGATAAATATTATTACTGACATCAAATGTCGTCCTTATCTAAGCCCCCCTCCTGTATATAAGCCCCCTCCTGTATATAAGCCCTCCCCCCTCCTGTATATAAGCCCTCCCCCCTCCTGTATATAAGCCCTTCTATGTATAAGCACATCAAAAAATGCTTATGATCGAATATGACCCAGGGCTTGTATTCGGAGGTTTTCGGGTTAAAGAATAAGTTTCGGAAAGGAATCAAAAGGATCAGAAATACTCATCACTTCTGTAAGCTATACAGCCAATCGCAAAACATGTTCATTTTATGTCGGTATTTACACAATATTTTAATGAGTGTTTGAAAAAGAGTTATGATTTCATTTAGTGACAGAGTCACTAAATATACAAATGAGACAAATGAAGTAACATTGACTGAAGCCTGACTCTGAAACAACATAAACACTAACCGTCACTTAACTTTACTCTTGTTGAAAGACATCAGTAACGGTTAGAGTTTAGAGTCGTTTCAGGGTCACGCTTCAGTCAATGATATCTAGTTTCTGGCGTTTGTATATTTACAGTGCCTAGAGGATCTAAAAAGAGTTTTAATTGTGTATGATACAATGCAGCAACACCACACAACCTATATAAATATAGAGGCCATAAAACGCTACAATGTTGATATTGACTAAAACAATCGTACGGAATTAGGAGATATTCTTCCATACACTCAATTACATGCACTGAATTGTTAGGAAACGTCAACCTCGTTCCCAGGGTCTTTAGGAAAGACCCTGGTATCGGCTGGTCACGTGCCTCGTCCAAAATTGATTGCCCGAGGGGGGTGTGGTGAAAGTATCAAATTACAAACAGTTAAAAACATAAATTTTGCGAACTATTACCAGTAAGTTCAAAGTACTTGCTAATTTTTGTTTATTTTATTTGCATTGAATTTACAAGAACATTCT